TTTAGCGTGTAGTAGATAGTGATGGGCAGAAACGACTATTTGGTACTACCGATTATTATTCGGTTTTCATTACGTACTACTGACTATTATTCGACTAATAATTTGCACGACCAGCTATATACAAATCATAGAAATTAGTCGAATAATTAGTCGACTATTTTTTTCCAACCAACTAATATGAATAAATAAAATTAGTCGACTAATTATTCGACTACTTTTTTCCAACCAACTAATATGAATAAATGAAATTAGTCGACTAAAATAACTGATAACTCGGTAATTCTAAGAAATTTAAATTGTAGTCGTAATTCTATTTAAAGGTAAGGTTTTGTTTCCGCAGTTGACTGCAGCAGTCATACATAGTCAAAACAAAAATAACGATAATGACACGCACGACGCATGTCACACACACTACAAATTTAAAACAGTTGTAAATTTGTATTTATTTTTCCTAGTTATGTTTATGTTTTTTGTTATATTATTATTATTTTTGTTATATTGTTGAATTAAAGTAATTCATGCTAAAGTTTGCAATCAGTCCAATAAAAATCAGTTGAATAATAAAAAAAAGTCAAATTGAATAATGGTAATTAGTCGAATAATAAAGTAAGTCGAATAATAAAAATAAGTCGAATAATAATAACTTGTCAAATAATAAAAATTAGTCGAAGAATAATAATAACTAGTCGAATAATAAAAATTAGTCGAATAATAATAACTAGTCGAATAATAAAAATGTTCGAGTAACTAAATTAGTCATTTGATACTACCGACTAAGTCGGTAGTTATTAGTCACTTTTACCCATCACTAGTAGTAGATACCACTGAGCCGGTTGTATTGGTTTTTATTTCTCCTTCAATTATTAGTATTATTACTTATTTAGTTGTAGACTTGTAGTCAGTACTCAGTATTCGCCAGTTTGCCACGTGGTCTTGGTTTTCTTTTACATAACAGTTCATTACATAACATTCATAGTTAACATTTAACTAGTTAACTAGGCGACACAAATGTCGCCCAGTGATTATACTTTGTCGACAGTATTTTGAAAGACTGGACGAAATAATGCAAAAAAAACATGTAATATTTTAATCGTACTATAGTATTACATTGACTATTTTGAGAAAAACATTTTTTGCCGCCCAATGAAAATTCCTTATAAAATGCACTGTTACATAATATTTAATTATTAAATTTAATATTACTACTGACAAGTAAGTATAAACAGGTCTAGGACATTTCGCCGCCGGACTATTCGCTGCGAAGAGAACATCCCCACGAAATATTATTACCAATTGTACTTATCATTAAAGATTAATAAACAACAACACTTAGGTTATGATATTTTTTCAAACCTCACTACCCGACTTTTTACATGCGTTCATCCCTGATTGACACTCATTGAGTTGTGAAACATTAATTTTGATATGTTCTTCAATTTAAATCAAGTAAATTTTAACATCCCCACAGCCCCACAATAGAATTTGCAGCTTTAATTTCCGGCTGTTCATAAACAGCTATGTGCTTGCATACTTCTCTGGGGCAGAAGATTTTTTCAGATTGCATAATATGAACAAAGTCCCAAAAATGGTTTTCGGAAAACCAACACTTTTGGGAAAGAAAAATGAACAACATTTTTCGTATGTACGATCTATGTTTACGGCTCAGGGGGGGTTTTATGGGGGGGGGGGGGCGAAGGGGCCCGGGCCCCCTCCGAAATGAAAAACACCATTGTTAAAGATTGTTATTTTTAATATGGATATGTCTTAATGGAGGTTTACGAAAATTTATCGCGACACTGAGAATGTTGCTTATGCGATAATTTAAAATTTTATATTTATAAAATATGTTTATTCTTTTAAGAAAATATGTGGTGAATTTTGAGTGACTCTAATAAAAAATTTGTTTATTACAATGTAGTTTTTATACTTAAAAAATAATAAACCATTAAAAAAATTGAGTTTCTTATTTTTCTGATGGTGTAAAGACTGTCGAGAAGTCTTATAGTATTAAAGTAATTTGTTTCGTAATAGTGTGCTTCCTCCTTCTTTTCCACCCTAAAATCAAATACATAATCGGCCCCCTCCGAAATGAAAACCTATATACGCCACTGTTACGGCTTTATATAATGTGATAAGAATTATAAAATTATTAAATACTTTTCATTTTTATTAAACACGTCATTATGAAATTATTTTTTGAATTTTCAACATAAGAAAAAAAATAAAAATTTAAAAAACCTATAATTTTCTAGATAATAAAATAGATATCCTTAATGGAATTCTAAATTATCACTGTTAAACCATTGATTATAACACAGAGTAATATTACTCTATGGTCCCAATACTGCATAACGAGCGTCTAGAGACAGCGCCTCTTATCTGCACTATTATTATTAGTAATTACAATATCACTACAGTTGCCTTATCACATAATCGGTTGATTACATTTAAATATTATATTTAAACAAACAGCCATAGTATTATATTATTTAATAATTATATTAATTGTAATATATTAATTATTTAGTATAATTAATTTATATAGTACAAACTACAATGTCATCAAGTGAAGAATTAGAAATGTTATATATGTCTTTCCTTGTAATATATTTTTTTTTTAATATTATAATCAGTTTCATTTCGTAACTAATCAATTATTAAATTTGGTAGGATTCTACTTTCAATTTTACCTATAATTATAATAATAAGTAAATATTATATAGGTATAATTTCAAAATATAATTTAGTAATAATACTTACAAGATTCACTCTACAGTACATTTTAATTAAATATAGATATTTACACAGTTTAGTCTTGTAGTCTTGTGAAAAATACTTTTATTTTGTATTCAAATACTTATTAGATTATTAGAATATAATATTTTTTGCCCCGCTAATATTTGACAGTTTTGGATTGGGTGGTAATGAGTATATGGGAGAATATGTATTCAAATAATTTACAAATACTTTACAAACAAGACTGGTTTTACATATTATTATGAATTTTTTAAATCATTACCTTGAAGAGAACAACATTTTAAATGTATTACTTCTAATTCTTCACTTGATGACATTGTAGTTTGTACTATATAAATTAATAATACTAAATAATTAATATAATTATTAAATAATATAATGCTATGGCTGTTTGTTTAAATATAATATTTAAATGTAATCAACCGATTATGTGATAGGCAACTGTAGTGATAGTGTATTACTGATAATAATAGTGCAGATAAAAGGCGCATTTTAGTCACGGATATCTAGATATCTGTGATTTAAGTAGACAATTGTTATCATTTTATTCTTATCACATGATACTATCTTGAATACGTTTTTTTTGTTGACTTAAATATTGTTAGTTCGTTACATCAGCATTCTGTTGACAGAATTATAGCACAGGATGGAATTAAATTATTTATTATAATTTATAAATAATCTATTCTGTGATTTAAGCAACTATTGTGAGTTATAAGTTACATTGAATTTACCGAGGATTTCTTCGTTTTTCATTGTTTGTTGTTTGAAATGTTCAATTACTTTTTCAGGTAATGTGACAAGTCTTTTAAACTACCAAATCAAAGCACTCAGGTAAATGTACTCGGTATAATTTTTTATATGTTATTATTTGTTAATCAAATTGGTATTTACAAGAGTTTGTATTGTTGATATTGTTTTCAGGTTCTATTGCTATTATTATTTGTTGACATGATGTCCTCGGCTACAATTAAAGTACGGAATTTGCCTCCACAAATTTCGTGTGAAGATAAAGAAGAATTTCTCAAGTACTTTGGTGCTAAATATGTAAAAGTCTTGACATCAAAAACGAACAGAAGTATTGCTTTTGCTAGGTATTTTGATATTTCAGTTTTTTCATCGGATTTGGTCTTTTATTATTGTAACTCAATATTTTTTTTTTATTAGGTTTGAATCTCAAGAATTTGCTGAAGCTGTTATTCAACGGTTGCATCAAAAAGAATTATTAGGTCATAGATTAACTGTCGAGTTGTCTCAAAATGATCTTGATGTTAATCTTATGAAAAACTCCAAGCCATTACCAGAAATAGAATGTAATGCTAATGAGGTAAAGAAATTACAAGAGGCTTATTTAAAAAAGTTAAATAGCTGGTCTACAGCAATTGACTTGAACCAACCACCGCCCCATCACCTGCGATACAGTTACCCTGATCCAAATCCTCACATTCTCTCTAATATTGCTAATATGTTAGCTTGTAATCAGAAGTTTTACTATCAAGTTCTTCATTTGATGAATCGTATGAACCTTCCAGCACCATTTGAACCTGTTGAAGGTTGCTCTCTGAAAAATTATATGAAAACTGAAACTGCAGATAAGTATACAACAACTGTTGAGACCGATCCAGAACTCTCTGAATCTGAAATGGAAAGTGAAGGTGAAAGTGAACATGTTGATCGTGTAGAATCTAAGCATTCTTCAACTAGAAAAAAAATTTCCAAAGGTATGATACCTAAGCGTTTAAAAGTCGTTAGTGGTACAATTCAGAAAAAACCTAAAGTTGAATTGTCTAATGTTTTTGACACTGTTGAATGTGAAGTGCCAAAAAAAAATTGAAGTTAAAGTATCAGCAGAACTAAACCCTGCTGAAGGTCCGATTGTTAATACTGAAGGAGGATTTGGAGTAATATATTCTACTAAAAGTGTCATCAGTGAAGAAATTAAAAAAGGGAACGAGTCTGAAGACGATGATGTAACTGGAGATTCTATCAGTAGAGAAGAATTAGCTACAAATAGGCTATCAGAAAATGATATGAAAGATATGCCTATTTTTAAGAACTATTATCCCGGAGCTCCTTCGTGTAGATTATATATAAAAAATCTAGCAAAAACCGTAACAGATACTGACTTGAAATACATATATAAGAGATTTATAAAGTCTGGTGACATTAAACCAGGAACTATGTTAGTGAAATCAAATAATTTTCTTTTTGATTTATTATTTAAATTTTTTTTTATTTTGTATTTATTATTTATAGGTTTGATATACGATTGATGCAAGAAGGACGTATGAAAGGTCAAGCATTTATAACATTACCAAGTGTGGAAAATGCTCAACAGGCATTAAAAGAAACTAATGGTTATATTTTAAAGGACAAACCTATGATTGTACAATTTGCCAGATCGGCTACAGCTAAATAAATTTTATTGTTTGTGATAATAAATGTATGCATAATATCATTTTTTATACTTTTATGTTTATGTATGAAATATTTGTACATTACAAATAATTTAGTCAAATAAAGAAGAGTAAATAAAACATTTTTAGTTTCTTCTTCTTCGAACTCTAGAAATTCTCCAAGAATTTGGTTCTTCGTATTTGTTATAAAGTGGTTCCAAACGTTGGTTCTTTTTGAATTTGCTCAATTTTGTTGGATCGGAGAACTTGAAAAATGCAGGTGCAAATTCGACCAGCCACCTAGGATCAATTGTTGTAACTTCACGCATGTATTCCTTTGTTGTTTGAACCAGTTCATGGTACATTACCCTAATAATTTATTATATTTAATTATTCCAATTAATTTTTATGAACAAATAAGACTATTTAGTAATTAATACAAACCATTCAGGTTGCCTGTTAAACAATGCACTGCTAGGATGTATGTATACAGCCTGACCGTCAACAAGAGTACGGTAACCTTCTTGAGGATCTTTTTTAGATGCGTTTCGGAAAAATCCTGAGCAAATGGCTTTTTGAATACGAGCCGTGTTTTTACCTGCAGATACAACATCTAGCTTATGTCTAAAAATGTACAAATATTAAAAATAAAAACAAAGAAAGATATTAAGTATAAAAGTAATAGTTCAATAAATACCTGTCCATAATGCCAAGTAATTGTTTACGGACATCTTGGGCACGTTTTAGTGTACGTATTTGAACAAAGTTTTCATAACACCAAGCATTGCTGAATTTATTGTTTTTCCACGAGTTATACACTGCTAGAAGTGTTAAATGATCACCTTCAACTTGATTAAATTTGGCTTTTTTCTGATCAGCCAAAGCTTGTTTGTCCTTAGGTCTGTAGAAGACATTTTGAACAGAAAGCATGGACACAATAGTTAATATTTCTTCTGAACATTGAAGATGAACAGACATTATCAACATTTTTGAAAGGTTAGGTTCCAATGGAAATTCTGCCATCTAAAGAAATTCTTAAATATTATTTAGTTTTTTTGTAATAAGATTTTATATTAAAATAAAAAATGTAAATACATACTCGTCTTCCCAATCTAGTAAGTAAACCTTCATCATCTAAAGCACTCAAAGAATGCAATGATTCTAAGGCCATAATTAAACTTTCAACAGGTGGGGCATCCATAAAATCAAAATGAAGTAAATCATTTATGCCCATAGTTTTCAATTGAAGTACCTAAAATATGAAAAATAATAATCATATTCAAATGCATGGAAAATTAACAAAATTAATTATTCAATAACACACTGTTGTTGCTAAGTTTGTACGTTGTATTTCGGGCACAGGTGTGGGTAACATTTCATCTCGATATGCTCTCTCAGTGTAAAGTCTATAACATTTACCAGGTCCAGTACGACCAGCACGTCCAGCTCTTTGTTTGGCTTGAGCCTTAAAAAGTATATAACCATATATTTAGTATATCACATTGGCTACTAATATGGTAGTTACAAATTGAACATACTTGGGAAATTGGTGTGACGACTAACGAGTCCATCCCAGTTTTCGAGTTATAAACTTTTTGTTTTACAAATCCAGGGTCTACAACATAATAAATGCCATCAATGGTCAAAGAAGTCTCAGCAATATTCGTAGCAATTACAACCTAAGTAAACAAGTAAAAAAATTGTTTAGTAATTACTTTAAATATAACTATAATGATATAATAGTTATTGTATTATTTATACTTTTCTTGATCCAGGAGGGGCAGCTTCAAAAATTCTTGTTTGCATTTCACTGGGTAAAGCTGAATATACAGGTAAAATAATCAACTCTGGTATATCTGGACCTAATGATTTCATTCTCTCATACAAAATTTCACAAGCTGTATCAATTTCTTCTTGACCGGTCAAGAAAAGCAATACATCACCCGGGGGTTCTCTTAAATGTATTTGCATAATTGTGATAAGTGATGCATCAAGATAGTCCGTCTCAGGTTCTTTAGTGTATAATACTTCTACAGGGAATGTACGTCCAGGAATAGTGAATATGGGTGCTTCAAAAAAGTATTGAGAAAATTTCACAGCATCCAAAGTGGCAGATGTTACAATGAGTTTTAATTCTTTCCTTTTAGTAACTGCTTGTTTTAATAATCCAAATAGAACATCAGTATTTATTGTCCTTTCGTGAGCTTCATCCAACATGATAACTGAATAGTTTTTAAGATCAAAATCAACTAGACATTCACGCAACAACATACCGTCTGTCATGTATCTAAAATCAATAAAACAATTTATAATGGATTCTAAGACATAATGAGAAATCATTATTTATACTTGATTGCGGTTTCTGGACTTGTACAATCTTCAAAACGAATAGTGTAACCAACTTCTTGGCCTAATCTGCACCCAAATTCTTCAGCTACCCTCTTAGCCACTGACATAGCTGCCACTCTCCTAGGTTGAGTACACCCAATCTTACCTCTTGAAGTAAACCCAGCTTCAGCTAAATATTGAGTAATTTGAGTAGTTTTTCCTGAACCGGTTTCTCCGATGACAATAAGAATTTGGTTATCAGTTACAGCCTAAATTATTATATAAAATTACTTTACATTTTTTTGTGTGCCATTTATAAGAAATTACTTTAATGAGTTCATCTTTGAGTTTGTATATCGGCAAACTTTGTCTTTGTTCCAAAAGGGTCAAGTTAGTCTTCATTCCAAATGAACTTTTTTTACCTCCAATAACATGTTTTTTCCATTCAGGTACATCTTGGGCAGTCAGACCGATTCCACGCATATTTGAAGCTAATTGTCGACTTTCATCTGAATAGTTTTTATAAATTAATAGAAGAATTAAATTATTTGAATGCAATTAGAATGACGTACTATCTGGTAGAGGGTCTATCCAGTTCTTAGTGACATTTTTAGGAACAGAGTCCATTTCTTGTTCACGCTGTAGCATTTTATGTTCTCGTCGTTCTTTGGATAATGCACTTTGCATCATAGCAGCTTGTGCAAGAGAGCCATCTGGATTTTTTACAATACGGACCTAAAAATTAATGATTATAAAAAAAGTTTTAACATTTAATTTATGTTTTTTATAATTTTTTATTAAAATGATTGTAATTTATGTAAATAGAATTTAAGTGATATTATTTTCTTATTCAGATTACATACAGGACTGAGATCATGAAGATTTCTACCATGACCATGTAAAAATGGAGGTTCATCTTCAACAATTTCAATTTCAATATCTTGTTCTTCCTCAGTATTATCTTTAGGTAAAATACCGGTTTCCTCATCAAAATCAGGCAATTCACTTTTGTCAATACAATTAGCCGATAACATCTAAAAATTCAAAATTATAAAATAAAATAAGTAGATATTATTGGTTTAAATTAATTTACTTGTTTTATTTCCCAACGCTCTGGAGATGATATTTTGTTCATACGTTTTAAGTTTGTCATTTCATCAGCATCAGTGACTGTTTGAAGGTCTAGTAAAGAAGTAGGTCTATCAGGGTTACGGCCACCCATATCATCATCATCACTAAAATAATAAAAAAGTAATAATAGTAAACAAAAATATTTTTTCTTTTTATATTTTCTTTCTTACTCTAAATCGCCTGGCTGTATCATGGGATTTAAGTCTTCTCCAGTTTCTTGATCAACATCTTTCATAGATAATGATATTTTCTGGTTACCACTTATAGCTAAGACTTTAACCTATAATTATCGAATTCATATTTTGTGAATTTATCAGATTATGACAAAATTACGATTTATTAAATCATTATAACTTACCATAACTCTATCACCTCTAGAAACTACATCACTCACAGAAGTTACTCTTCCTTTTTGACGCAATTGTGATATGTGTACAAGACCTTGGGATTGCCTGAATGTATCTAGTTGTACAAAACATCCAAAGTCAACAATATTTAAAACTTTGCCAGGATAAACTTTTCCCAACTCAGGAAATTTGCTCTTTGATTCAATTCTAGATAAAGCCATTAAAATTATTTAAAAATTAAATTAATTAATAACAATAAAAATAACATACTCTTTTTCATGTCTTTCTTTTTTTGATCCATCTTTGCTTCTACTTCTTCTAGAATTACGATGATCATATTTATCTCGATTTCTATGACGATCATTACTTCGATCCCTTCGCCTTTCTTTACTTCTATCTTGATTTCTATTACGATTGTTACTTCGATCATTATACCTTTCTCTACTTCTATCTCTATGACGATCTCTACTTCTATCTCTACGTTTATCACGACTTCTATCCCTACGATGTTTATCTCGACTTCTACTTCTATTTTTAGAACTGCGTCGTTTATGTTTTCGATCATGACTCTTAGATCGACTTCTTGATAGACGTTTATTATCTGAAGGCTTTGACTCATGAGGTAGGTTTTCAGAGCTATATTAAATATTATTCATAATGATTAAGTAAATGATAAAGTATCAGTATATTAAGATTTTTAGTTGATTTAATCATACTTTGAGTTATAAGCTGGTGCAAACGATTCTAATTCAGCCATGACTTCACTAATAGGATCATTTACAACAGTTTCATTTGGTATAGCTAAACCAGGAAATTTACATGCTAGTGTGTCGGTATTGTTTAAATTTTCATTTGATTTTTTCCCAGATTGTTTTGATGTTTTCGGTTGCATGTGCTGTATAATACGTAATAGATTGGCAATAAATGAATCCTTTAACATATTAAAGTTATAAAATAATTTATGATATAATTATATTTTAAGCAAATAATAGTAAACTAACTGAAAATTCAGCTCCATTATTCAGTAAAGCTTTCTTGAATGTTTCTAATGTATCGTTTTTGTAAGCCAAATCAATTATAAATTCAGCTAGAAAAAAATAAGCTAAAATTAAATTTTCTAAGCAAATGCGATTATATAGTATAATTAATAACATAATAGCTAAAATTATATTTTGAGACGATTATCTTAAATTAACGTTTTACCTAAATCCTTGTCATTAAGACCCAAATGGTTTTCTAATTCTGTACATATTTTTGAAACTAATGACAAATGTTCTAATTTAGGTAATTCTTCCATATTCTAATACAAAAAATAAAAAACAGAGTATCTATATTAAAAAATTAATTAAAATAAAATTTAAGCGGTTTGAACAAATACCGAATAGAAACGATTTGATACATATTGTTATCAAAATAAAAATAACAAACATGATGTTAACGAACGTTTTACATACTGATACAGATCAAGATTGCCAACGTTATTGATATTTTTCGCGTGAATATTGTTATATTGTCGCCGTGCTTATCATTGAAACTGGAGACTTCTAATACAATTTTAGTCAATTACTTACACATGAATATATATTTTAATTTTCGAATAATTGAGTCAATGTTATCTGTATAAATACATTATAAATAGTTTACGTTTTGTTGTATTTGTGTATTATGTAAATAATCATTATTGTCAATGTTATTTATCCCAAGCTCAATCCGTGTTAGACGTGGACAAGCGAAGGAAAGAAATAGTTATCAGTGCCGATAATACACCCATCGGAATTCGCCTGTAAACTTTATGTGAGTTTAATTTTTTTGAGTAAATCTAGAAATAGGAGAAAGACCATCAAAACACACTACAAATTTTGCAAATAGCGTTATTAATCAGTAGTGGTTGATTTTTGTCAGTTTTTTCAGTATTTGTTTGCTTTACTCAACCAACCGGTTTTCATTTGCCATTTGTTGATTGTTGTTTTGATGAAAAAATTGATTGACTATAATGTTAGCTCGTAATATTTCATAATTACCTGCCAGTGTGGTATTTAATAAACGTACAATTTTACGTATTTTACTCATACTGATCATAAAATTATGAACTGTGAGAATATCTATGACATTTGAAATTCTTGTTTAATACTTAATTCTGTTGTTAGGTTAACTATTATTTAATAATAAAGTATATCAAGATGTGTGAATAATACTCTTAATTTTCAGGACTATACATTGTATGATATATATGTTTTGTAATTTACTCTATCAGTGTTTACATTCATAATAAATGATAACTGACTAATTTAATCTAACTTTTGTTAATACATTATTTTTATATTGTGATATCAGACGATTTATTGACCTTTTTTTATAAGGAAATAGTAAAACATAATCCTTAAATTATTATTACTTTGTTTTTTAATTTGTACCTTTATACACCTAATTCAACTAAAATAACAATTATAGACTATTTATCTATGTTAACCTTGATCTACATAAATAATGATTCCGATAATGATAATTTCATTTTCATTTCATATGAACTTTGATCAGAAGTGAATTTATTTAAATAGTTTATAAGTTTAAAACTAACTTAAGCAATGGACATTTACGAGTGACGCTGTTAATTAGAATAACAAAGTTTGATGCAAACACACAAGAAATTTTAAAATATAAGTAATTCTTAACTTCTCATTAAATAACTAACTCGTATCTCTATAGAACAAATTTTGAATTATAAAAATAAAAAATCAGTATACATTTTTCTAAAATCTAAATAAATCTTATACATTATCTATTCTTAAACTTCATTACCTATTCCTCTAAAAAATGTTGGCTATGATATCAAAGCTTATTTCAGATATAGTCCTCTGTAAAAAATGGTTGGAGACCCCTGGTCTAGACTATATATTTGGATCACAAGTGTTAAATATTTCATTACTTGAATACTAATATAATACATCTATATATCTATTAGGTTTTTTGAATATTTTTTTTCATTATTTTATTAAATCATTAAGTTATAATATTTGAATATGATACATTTTACTTTATTACATGACAATATTTTTAATTACATAATATATATCCAACAAAATGTTGTAATTAACAAAAAATAATAAAGCTGCTAAGTAAGATTAACCAATTTTGTAGTAAGATTTATTATTTTTTTGTTATAGGTTTGGTTAGTTTTTTCTATAGATTGAAAATAGACAGTTTGAGCATGGTTCATTTAATGGAATTTAAATACAAGTATGTTATGTTATGTTGTGTTAACTATGTGTTATAGTCAATTGCAATTTTGAGAATGATAGTTCTTTATTTTGAACTTACTACCTACCATATAAATTTGTTTTTGCTAGAAGTTTGAGATATTTTAAAAAAAATGTCTGAGTTCTATTTTTGTTATTTCATAATATATTAATTATAAACATTTATATTTGGAATTAGGTAAATACATCATGTAGAATTAAAAATTAATTTTGTTGTAAAAACAATGATGGTTAAATTTTTTAGTGGGAAGGGGTTATGGGGAGGAATATAAAGCCTATATTATGAAATGGTTACTGTATTATAATTTATAATATTAACTTCTATTTAAATAACTGTTTTATAGAATTATGTTTCTAGTAGTTTAGCACTCGAGTTGGTAAATTTTTCAACATTTTGGCATGTCTAGCTTTCCTCATTTGTCATTTTTGATTAGAAAAGTCTGATCAAGATCATAAATGTATTGTATTGTGAACAATCACAGAAGTGTTCACATTTTTTTTTCAACAAATTGTTTAATTTTTATTAAAATGTTAACCAATAATAATAGGAATTAGAAACTAAAAGGATCAATATTTAATAATATTATGAATAATTCATAACGAATATTTGATTTTTCTAATTAAAAATTGATTTAATTGTATTTAAATTTTTAGTACGCAATTCTCACGACTAACATAAAAATAATTAGTATAATTGATATGCATTTCATTTATTTATGTTACATATTCTTTACGTGAGGGAAATTGTTTTTTTGTTGAAATTGTATTCAGAACGTATTTTAATATCACGATGGTGTGGATATATGATTATTTGTGATTTTAGGAAAGATTAAATTTATAAAACTATTGACAAGGATAAATTAAAAGAGAGAAAATAGAGACGGGTACTATAATAATACGATATTATGTCTCGTGTGAATTAAAGTCGTCGTCAATGAGTTTTTGAAGAATTTTACTAAAACTTGAAAATTGAAAATAGTCAATAAAATAATAATATTTTACTTGTATATATATATATATATAGAATCGTAATTTTTTTTTCATATTCATTTGCGATTTTATTGACTCTTTACATACCTGAGGATGAATTTTTAAATCGAATTTTGTACTTTACAAATATAATAATACTCTAGACTAAGCTTTTATTTGTTTTTTTATTTAGTCAAAATAGTCATTCAACCTTTATTATAGACTATTTTACTTTTCAAAAATACTGATGTTTATTCGGTCAATTGGTCGTTTATATTGATCTGGGTACGTACATCGATAATTTTTCTGGTTTCCGTTTTCATTCGTTTCACGACGAGAGCGATGTTTTATAGTCCGATCAGACTGTTTGAGTGATACTCGTAAGGATCGCAGTTTGGAAATGGCTTTATAGGAGACCCTGACAACCCGTCATACTGCAGCCGTGCAGAGAGAACTTAGTGTCGTTTTTATGTTACGAATTTTTTCGTCGTTATGTGGACAGCGTGCCCGTTTGCACCGCAGCCATTGGTCACATTGCCCATAATGTTATTCCGATTTCGTTAGTCGAAAAAAAAATAAATATATTATTTCTCCGTATACGTGCATCACGTTGTTCGCATCATTTGGCCGCAAATCACCCGTTGTATAATTGTATAATACGCTCGCGGACGTGGTGCTCGTGTGCGTGTGTACAGTTGTTGACCATTTTCTCTTGTCGGCCAGCGAAACTCTGTCTATAAATAGCCCCACCGGACCGTCTCGCCCCCGCTTGCACCACTTCGCGGGACACGGAGCAGAGGCTTTGAGCTTTTTTGTGTCATACGAAAACAAATGACTCATTTTATGTTTGGCGCTGGCACATGGTTTATGGCCTTATTTTATTATTTGGCTTAACTGGAACGCGCCTAGCTTACGTGCTCTCGTGCTCGCCCCGTGGTTCTACGCCGTCCCGTACGACGTCCGTCTCCGAGAGCAGTTGTACCGGTAGCGGATTTCAGAGTCCGATGTAGTGTGGTCGGCGCGAATTGTCTGCGATGGAGATCCCACGGAACACGTGATTTCGTGTCGTTGTTGCGGAACGGATCGGTGTACCACATGGGGTGGGGGTGAACGTAAACTACCCTCCTCTCTAGACGATTTAAAAATGTACGCGCGTCTTTTCGCGGTTCGCTCGTGTTCTTCTTGTAAAAACCACTAATCGGTGACAATGGTAATCCGTCCGTCCATCCTGTTTACTATATCGTTGATCACGTGTGATTTGTTCTTCACGCGGTCAAAAATATTAATATTAATCTTCTCCGTATGTATTTGCAATCTCCGACATTACGAGTGGAAAGATTACACGCTGTCGGCGAATCCGATAGATGTTCATAATTTCTTTCGAAAGCCACTAATCAGTCACAAATAGATTGCGTATAGTAAATTTTTCGGGGAAAAAGTTTAAAAAAAAATGTGTTTCAATAGAACAGTAAGAAGCGTATTACACAATTTGGTTTAGGAGCTCATCAACGCCTGTTGACTGGACGGCCGTTAAATCTGCTACTTCGGTTCAATGTACAGTCGCACAGTATACGTACGAGTGTCTGTTCGTTAACGGATTCGTAAGTTTTTCTGCGACTTTTTCCGCACGTTATCGTCATTACTGCGATATACATATAAACGCATCGGATTATTGTTTATTACTACTTTTGCGTAATATGTGCTGCGGTGGTGGATTTCTATGGCCGCACGCGCGCGATATATTCCTTGCTAAAAACTATTGGGTACGGCGCACGCTCGCGCAACGACCAGGAGATCCTCCGCCCCCTTCGTCCCACGTACGTATCGCGCGTCCCGATGCCGCGCGTGTCGCTAATACACTTCTCGCACGATCCGCACGGTCGCGGGTTACTCGCGACTCGTGTGCGTTATAAATTATACGGACCTACGTACTTACTGCCTGCTTATATATAAAAGTGTGTGTGTGTGTGTGTGTGTAATTATGTGTAAATATATACGTATAAAACTACACACGATCCGTACGGTATAATACAGTATTTCGGATATAACTTTCGAATATAACTCTCGCAGAAACGAAAAAATTTACTTGCACAATTTTTTTTTTTTTTTATCGAAAACAGAATGTACATATCATTAAGAGTCCGAAGTTAAAAATATCATGTTTT